CTATATTGGTACAGTGTACAAATATTGTAAGTTGTCTAATGTTGTCTTGACTCACCTTTTCTATGTCTTTCAGTAGTTGGCACATCTTGATGCCCTGCTCCAGCCGTCTTCTGTGGTCATCCCATTCCTTTAACCACTGGATCCGTCTCATGTCCAGCATGGTTAGCGCCTGCTCTACTGTAACTCGAGCTGCGTCTACACCATCCTGTAAACAACAACAGGTAAACAACAACAGGTAAACAACAACAGGTAAACAACAACAGGTAAACAACAACAGGTAAACATGGCTTTAACCACTGGATCCGTCTCATATCCAGCATGGTTAGCGCCTGCTCTACTGTAACTCGAGCTGCGTCCACACCATCCTGTAAACAACAACAGGTAAACAACAACAGGTAAATAACAACAGGTAAACATGGCTTTAACCACTGGATCCGTCTCATGTCCAGCATGGTTAGCGCCTGCTCTACTGTAACTCGAGCTGCGTCTACACCATCCTGTAAACAGGTAAATAACAACAGGTAAACAACAACAGGTAAACATGGCTTTAACCACTGGATCTGTCTCATGTCCAGCATGGTTAGCGCCTGCTCTACTGTAACTCGAGCTGCGTCCACACCGTCCTGTAAACAACAACAGGTAAACAACAGGTAAACATGGCTTTAACCACTGGATCCGTCTCATGTCCAGCATGGTTAGCGCCTGCTCTACTGTAACTCGAGCTGCGTCCACACCATCCTGTAAACAACAACAGGTAAACAACAGGTAAACAACAATTAAACAACAACAGGTAAACATGGCTTTAACCACTGGATCCGTCTCATATCCAGCATGGTTAGCGCCTGCTCTACTGTAACTCGAGCTGTGTCTACACCATCCTGTAAACAACAACAGGTAAACAACAACAGAAAAGCAACAAGCAAGTAAACGTCCTGCCAAAAGTGCAATGCACAATACATTACGGGTTTTGTCGAGGCACAGTACAAGACACAGTACTATTGTAGAATGGAACTCGTTGCCACCAAGCACAGTTGGGGCATCATCACTAGAAAGCTTTAAACAACTGCTGCAATTGAATGTGCAAAGATTAAGTGTAACAGGTCGTTCAGTGTGATATAGCTAGCTGCCGCCACGCCTGCGAAGCTGGTGTGTTTCACCGAAGGGCGGTTATACCGGCTATACCGATACAGATACAGATTCTGCCGACATGCTCTACCAATGATTGTCTTCAGTCTAGATCTGTATTGCAACATGAACTGCTGCATTTTCAAGAAAACTGCAAAATAACAATCCTCTCCAATAAAAAAAAGAGGGGTTCTCACGTTTTCTCTGACCCTTAAGACAATCCTCTCCCCACTGTCCGTGGTGTGGTTGAAGACCTTGGAGACGTCTTTCTTCACAGCCTCATGCTGTCTCAAGAAGTCTTCAACCTGTAGGAATAAACAGCAAGGAAAGAGTCAAGGATGATTCCAAACTCTTTTCAGTACATGTACAATTATGTGTGAATGTGTGATAGTGAGTGCAAGGTACTGTCCTTGGTGCTGAAATGGGTATCAAAGGAAAATAATCCTTCCCTGTAGAAAAAAACAACAGTCAAAATGATCTTATACCGGTTAAGCATCAGTAACAGCACATTAGGCACAATATAGACTGAACTAAAAAAAACTATAAAAAAGGCCAAGTGCCAAGTTTTTAAAATTGAAAAAGTATTTTCCTTAATATATTCTTAGTTTTCCTTACCTGTTTGACATCTTGTGGAGATGTTTGCTTGAAGTCCTTGTCAGCCTTGTCAATAAGCATGTTCAACTGGAAAACACAGACAGTATATATAGGCAATCGTAAGTCTAGCAGTACAAAATATACACAATGTACATTTGTTTTCACACTTTACGAATGTCTCAGTTACCCTTTCTTGTCTCTAAAGTGTTCTTTTTTTTCTTCTGTAAGTGTTTCCTATCTGTTGATGTACATGATGTTCAAGCACAGATACAGGTAGCATTGCAGATTTGGGTAGTTACATGTTCAAAACAATTATAATTCATATGTCATCAATAGCATCACATTTGCAATCTTTTATGTCATACAAAGTTTACAATTCCAACTTGGTAGACATTTAGTACAGTGTACTTTAAAAGAACAAGAAAAAACCACAATCACTCTGAAACTCTCTGACGAGCTGGGCTCCTCTACAGCTTGATTAACAGCTGCCGTGTCTGGTAACCGTGACAACCCTGGTAACCGTGACAACCCTGGTAACCGTGACAACCCTGGTAACCGTGGCAACTGCTGGTACTGCTTCATGTTCTTTCTTAGTAACCAATCAGTCTGGGGATGGAGACAAGGGGGGTGGGGGGTGACTGGGAGGGAAGGAGGGATGGAGGGAAGATGGAAAGGAGGGTTTTCTGAATGATGGAAGGTGGGAGCAGAAAACGGAGAAAGAAGCTGAGAAGGGGTATGCAGGAAAAGGAAGAAGATGAAGAGATGAAATGAAAAGGAGACAATGAGGAATGAAAGATGGCAACTAGAAAGGTGAAACCAAAGGACAAAAGAAAGGCAGAAGAACTGGACAGAAAAAGCATGAATTGTCATTAATCTACAAAGATGCCAATGTCAAAATGTGCAAAGACAAAGGAAAAGAGAAAAAAATGAAGGAAAATATAAGAAAGAATGAAAGGAAGACAAAAGGAAAGGAATAAGAAGAAGTGAAAAGTAGAGCTGAAAAAGAAAATGAAAGCTCTTGGGTGGGACAGGGACGGAACACCTTGGGACAGTAGTGCGCATGTAGTTCAGACCATCAATGATTTTATTGCATCCAGAACCATGCCTATCTAGTTCCATGCCTGAGTGGTCTCCATGTATCCAAGAACATAGATTTGCCACTGGCTTGGTTTTGGATACACACTGACTACCCAGAACTGTGCCTAGCAATAGTGGCATGGTTCTGGATAAAGCACGGTTCTGGAATTCCAACAGTGACCAGCTAATTTTTTTAACCCCCACCTTGTTGATGTTGTCGAAGAAGGCAATGGCCATCTCCAGCAGTAGGATGTACTCAGCCAGCCTGGCCTGGAACCGCTGGTGCACTCTCAGCAGGTCCATGATCAGGGAGTCCTTCTGTGGACCAGTCTCTCCTCGTGCCGCCAGCATCTCAGCCGTCTTCACATGGCCCTCCACTACATCACTGGTTTTCTGCAGGAGAGAAAGGGTTCATTAGCAATTAATTAACACATTAATTAACAGAACCTCTGATGCACTCTCAGCAGGTCCATGATCAGGGAGTCCTTCTGTGGACCGGTCTCTCCTCTAGCTGCCAGCATCTCAGCTGTCTTCACATGGCCCTCCACCACATCACTGGTTTTCTGCAGGATAGACATGAAAAAGAACCTAACTTTTCCCTGCTTCCTAACTCAAAACCAATACAAAATTTGGCACCACTGAAGGTTGAGGCATTAAGATACCATAGACGTGTATGATGACTTCACATGTACACAGCCCTACCCAATGTTACAAGTTTTCTTATGGTTTTTAAGTAAGTGTAGACTGAAGAACATTTTAGTCTAGGCCCAATCCTTGCCATGGCTTACACATGTACCTGCAGTGCCCCCTATATATGAAAAGGAGCCCTGCAGTCTTTGTTCACAAGCTGAAAACAATGCTAACCTTTGCTGTTAAAGGCATGAGCTTCCTGAGGTTCTCTTGTTGGAATTTCGTTAATTTTTTTTCTTCAGTTTTTAAAGCTTTGGTCCTAACCTTAGACAACACATTGAAGACCACCTTACCTCAGCTGTAGGCATGAACTTCCTGAATCTATCCTGCCTGTTTTTTGCTAACCCTTTTGTTTGTTTGTTTGTTTGTTTGTTTATTTTACCACCTTACCTCAGCTCTAGGCATGAACTTCCTGAATCTATCCTGCCTGTTTTTTGCTAACCCTTTTGTTTGTTTGTTTGTTTGTTTGTTTATTTTACCACCTTACCTCAGCTGTAGGCATGAACTTCCTAAGTTTGTCCTGCAGGTCGACGGCATCCTCCAGGTTAGTTCCCAGGTCGGCTCCACTGGTGGGGAAAATCTCCCTCTCGAGGCTCACAATCCACTCAATAGTCTGCAGACAACACAAATATAAACACGTTTGTTATTATATGGCAATAATTATTACTGAAGCTATGCCAATCCTGTAAATTATACATATATGGCTCCATCATCATCATGCCTCCGGATTAATTATGTGCTGAGGTATGTTTGATAAAGTTACTCCACTCAATAGTCTGTGGACGACACAAATACAAACTTTTTTACTATATAGCAATGATTACTACTGAAGCTATGTCAGTCCTGTAAATTATACATTATCTGGTGAGGTATGTTTGCTAAAGTTTCTGCAGTACACCCTGTCCCTTATGGCAGACACTATAGCAGTCCCTGCGAGAACAGCGTCTCTCTCTAAGGCCACACCAATTTAATTTGTTGGTTCTCGGATTTTTTCAGGAAAAATATGAAGCGACTGGGCGAAAAAAAATAAAAATAAAAACAGATCTAGGAATCCTATTATAGCCCCAAATGCTACGATAGGAGGTATGAAGTCAACACAAAAGGCTGGTTCAAAATTTAAACAATGAATTTTGAACTTCTAATGATACCACTGCATTGAAAAATGGAATAACTGTAACGACTAGGAAGAAAAGGACTGTTTTCAACTGTTCAGGGCAAAATATGAGCATTTTGCAGTTGATTCTGAATTTTTTTTTTTTTTTTGCAAATCAGAAAAAAATGAAGAGGCGAATCCGAGAACCAACAAATTAAATTGGTGTGGCCTAAAGTTGACAAAAGTGTAGTAAGTGGTCTTCCCACTATACCTATCCCAGTGATATATCTACGTGCGGAAAATCTAGCCTCTCCAGGCTCACAATCCACTCAATAGTCTGTGGACAGCACAAATTATGACAAATTTGTTACCAACTGAACATTTTCTGCTCTACTAGTGAGTGCAATAATATTTCAGGTTGGCAAGACTAACAAAACATTCCTGATAAGGCCACACCGATTTGATTTTATGGATGACATCCTCCGAAGACCCCCAAACTAGTGCGCGCGGGCGAATAAAAAAAATTCCGGCCAAAAATAAAAATGCTACTAAACCACAGGAATACACAGCTGGAATTGTAAATTTGCGACAGTACATAGAGACGTGTACGACAAGCTGGCACATGCTGGCTGTACGCGGCATTTATGAATCGGTACTGTGCTCTTATGTACTGAGTTTTTGAGTCGTGGGGCTTCGGTAGCCGGGGTGCCCGGCTCCGTATTGTCGCTAACTACCATGGACTACCCAGGCCTAGAGCTAGGCCAGACCCTCGGTGGACGTGATTTTTTTTTTTTGAGGGGCAGGCAAAAATCAATGCGCGCGCGGATGTCATCCATAAAATTAAGTTGGTGTGGCCCAAGGGAACCTGTCTGATTATGACATTTACTGCCATTTCTTAGCACATTTTGTCATCATTTCATACGGGTAGCATTTGAAATAGCCCCTAGTTTCTGGTGAAGTTGACATCTTGTCAATATGTTTCTCCCATATGTGTGAGACAAGATTGACTGAAAGCCTTTAAATCATTCGGATTGCAATCTACATTTAAATGAATAGCAAAGTTCTTTCTATCACAACCATTTATTTTTTCAAGCCAACGTTTCGATGACCGTCTGTCATCTTCATCAAGGCAATACTGACTGGTTTACTGTGCACTGACACTAGATATTGCTTGGTGCATAGTGCACTGAAGTTGTTACATAGTTCATAGTGCACTTCAGCTAGTTATGTCTGTTTACAATGCGTTCCGGAACATAGTGTAATGGTTGTGATAGAAAGAACTTTGTGATAGAAAGAACTTTGCTATTCAGTCGTTTACCAACCTGATGAAATTATTTATGGAAATCTACATTTAATTTTCTACCTTCTTGACTTCTTCCATGAAGCGTAGCCAGTCTTGTTTGAACTGCTCCTCTGCCTGAAGTTTCTGCTGCCAGCTGGTTCGCTGGTCCTGGATCGTCCGTTTTCT